CGGGACGGGGCGGGGGGTTGTATTAAGTGGCTTGTGGGAGCTTGGGAGGCTGGGGGGAAGCTGAGGGTTTGGGAATCCTCGGGATGAAAGAGCTGAATAAAAGAGCCGTTAATAATAGACGTGGCTTGAAAGGCTACTGGGGGGGGCAGCCCCCGTACGGCGGGCAGAGGCGGTGGAAATCGGGACTGGGATGAAAGGAGCGTTTCCAAGGGCTGGCGGGGGAATGCCAGGAGCACGGGCACAGTGCGGGGAGGGGGGCACCAGCAGGGATGGGGGACGGGCACTGTGGCCCCCTCCTACCAACCCTGAGGTGCCTTAGGGCCGAGCCTGCCTCCGTCACCCGCTCATCCAGCCCTGGCAGCGCCTGGCGGCATCTCCCGCCCTTGGAACATCGCTGCGGCCCGGGACAGGGTGGGCAAAGGGCTCCACTGGGGGCTGCCACAAGCCAGGGCTGGGCTGAGCTGACCAAGACACCGCTCCTAAACCTGCGCAAACAGCAGCTGACGGCGGCCAGGACACGGTGATGGTGCCAGGACATGGTGATGGTGCTCAGCGTGCGCCTCGCACCCGCCTGGGGCCCACCCGGCGCTCAGCCCGGCTCTGAAGCCAGCACGCAAGAATTATTTTCTTGCGAATCATTAATAAAACAGGACCGCAGCCCCCCAGGGTGCTCCCACAGACACTTGCCGCAAAGGAGGCTCTGTCCCTCAGTCAAACCCCTTGGGATGCTCCATAACCCCCTGTCCCGTGGGTGCTGCAGCCCCCATCTCACCTCAGCAGCCCTCAGGGCACCAGGACTTTGCCCTGGCTAAGCTCGATGCCCTCGGAGCAGCTTTAAGAGCTCCAGAATTTCTTAATGGCGCGGGAAGCACGCGGGGAATGCGCGGCGGGGGGCAGAGCGCACGTGGCTCCCCCCTCCAGCTCCATCCTGGTGGGACAAGGGTCGGCATTCCTGGCGGGCAGCCCTGCGGCGGAGGAGACCTGAAACGTCTCTTATTAACCCAACTGGAAACGGGAAATTGTTCCAGCGGTTTATAGAGCGATAAAAATTGGTTTGGGTGAAGAGGATAAAGGACGTTGGGGGAAAGGGCTGGAGAGGCGGCAGCCCCGTGGCACACGGCTCGGCCGAGCTCTGGGTGCTGGGGCTGAGCCTCACGTGGGCCTTCCTCAGCGGAGGCACCTGCGGACGCCGGGAGAGGAGAGAGCGGCTGCCGCCACGACCTGCAGATATTTCACCAATCTAAACCCACCCCCCCCTCAGCAGTTTGGGAGAGGAGCTGGGATAGCCGGGCTGCCCGCGGTGGGGGCCGCGGGTCCGTCCTCCTCAGTCGCCTTCGCAGCTTCCCCCAAACGTTGGGCTCTGCTCCGCCCGGGCCAGGGGCACACATGGCAGCATCACGCCGCAGGGCCAGGGTACCCCGAGAACAGGTCCTGCCTCCAGCCAGCCCCCCCACGCTGGGTCACGCAGCCTTAAAAAACCACCGCCAGGCCCCCTCCCGGGGGGTGCTGAGCCCCGCCTAAGGGATGTGCCAAGTCGCAGCTCAGCACCACGGAGCGCTGGGGGGAGGCACCAGTTTAAACCCAGTTTAAGCCCACACAGCAGCCTCAGCCCTGGAGCACTGAGGAGGCTGAGCGCAGGCTGCACGGAGGTGTTACACCCCCCCAGGACACACGTCTGCACTAAATTCGTGCTCACCTGTACCCGAGCGAGACCCAGCGCCGTGCTCAGCCCCATTCTGCTGGGAAAGAGCTCAGGAGGCACCAGGCTGGGCCTGGCAGCAGCACCCCATCACACCTCCCCATCACCCCAGCTGCAGTGGCACAGCAGTCAAGGTAACAACTCCCATTCGCTTTTAATTTAATTGGGTTCTCAAGACCGTTTGTAGGAAGGAGGGGGGGGAAAAAAAAACACAACACACGCACACACGCTGGAGAAGGGAAAGGGCCAGCGAACACACGGTAATAGTGCAACGGAGCTTTAACAATGGGGCACATGAGACAAGAGCCCAGACACCTCCACCCTCCCGTGAAAAACCTCTGGGTGGATGTTATGGAGCCAAACACATCCCGCGCCGCTCAGCTTTACATAAAATCAGACAAAGGCAATAAATAAAGAAGCGGTGCCTCACCAAAGGCACTTTTTTTTTTTTTCTTCTTTTCAACATTAAGAAAAACCATTGCTGGCATCAGAACGTGTTCTCAGATGGGGTTTTTGGCCAAATCCAGTTGGGTTTCTCAGCACAGGAGAGGGAAGAGCCGGGGCCTGGGGGGTTTGGACCCCGTTGCCAGCATGTCCCAAGAGCCCAGCCCGCAGGAAGCAGCCAGGGCAGCACCTTTCAGCCCCTCACCAGCACCCTGCTACATCTCCAGCTTGTTTGAGGTATATCACCTGCCCCATCCGTTATCTTGTGCAGCCAAAAAACAGTGCAAAGGAAAAAAACAAACAAAAAAAAAATCCCCCAACCCCTTGGTTTGCTCCCAAGATGAGATGAGCCTGTTTGCGAGGGGAGAAGCCTCTAGGACATACACACACACACCCCACCCCAGCCCCTCCATGGGGCTGGATCACTTGGGGCTTTGGTCCATTTAATGTCCCGGCCCTGGGGCATCCCCCCACCGCTGCCCCACAGCCACCACGGCTCCCTCCCTGCCTGCACCCACACTCCCCGCCGAGGGGCACAAGGATGCAAAATAAATATGTGGGACGTGGCTCAGCAGCACCAACGCTCCCGGGGCAGGGAGGGGTCGTCCCCCTCCCCAGCAGACACCACCCCGGGGAGCCCTGCCGAGGGGTGCCCTCAGCTCAGCTTCAGGCCGATGGCCACGGCACGCCGGTAGACCTCGGTGACATTGTCACAGCCCGCCAGGGACAAGCTGCTCTCTCCCAGAGGGCTCCGGCAATGGGTCACAGTCCAGCGGCGCAACCTGCGCCCTTCCTCCCTCTCCTCCTCCTCTTCCAGGCGGAGGAGGCTGTCAGCAGAGACACAGCCCCGCATGCCCCCGCCACCGTGGGGGACACGGGCGGGCAGGTCGAGTTGGTCAAAAGACTCTGTGGAGAGGATGCTGTCCTCGCTCACGGCGCTGGATGGGCGGGCGCGGGGTGCCTGGGGCAGGGGCACCTCGCTGAAGCGCCCGAAGCTCTCCCTGGGGGGACTCTCTGGCTCGATGCTGCTAGAAGAGTACTTGCCGTTGTGCTTGAGGATGCCTTTCCGGCAGGTGGGGAGACCCTGGGGGCCCTGCTCTGGGGAGGGGTTGTCAGCAAACACAGTCCCTTCGAGGTCCAAGCTCCCCACGTCCAGGACATCCCCGGACTCACAGCACTCCAGGGATGAGTAATACCCCGACTCCCTCGTCGAGGGCTTTTTCAGGATTCCCTTCTTGGGCACGGCCGTGGGCACAGGTCCACTGCCCGTGCTGCAAGGCAGCATCCCCGAGGACAGGATCTGGGTGAGACCTGCAGCGGCCACCTCACCATCCTCGCCCTTTGCCTCTCCCACGGGCACTGCCAACGGAGGGCCAGGGCCGGGCACCTTCTGCTCGCAGGAGTTTCTCTTCTTCAAGATGCCCTTGGGCCGTTTGAGGATGGACTTGGAAGGGTTCTCTGGGGCCAGGGCCACCTCCTGCAGCGCGTGGGAGACATCGTTCTCCTTCTTGGACTTCTTGAGGGAGCGCTGCCGCTCCAGGGCCACGCCGGGGATGTGCTGCTTCAAGAAGCATCGCACCTTGGAGCCGTTCTCCAGAAGGGGCCGGGAGGAGCGGCGAAGCCACTCTGCCACTGTGGCCAGGGGGGATTCGCTCTCCCGCAGCAGCTCTTGCTCCCCAATGGGCACCTTGTAGCCCCAGTTCACCCACCAGTGCGTGGCAATGTCCTCGATGGTGGCACGGCGCTCCGGGTTCACCATCAGCATCCACCGGATCAGTCCACAAGCATCTGGGGAACAGGCAGGTCAGGCACCAAAAGGAACATGCTGAGCGGGGGGGAAACGCTCAGGGAGGTTGGGGTCTGTCTACCTGACAGCTTCGTGGGCTCCCGGTAGTCCCCGCTCGTGATCTGCTTGACCAGAGTCTTGTAGTCGTGGCCATCGAAGGGCATTGTGCCGTGGACCAGGATGTAGAGGAGGACGCCCAGGGACCAGCTGTCCACCTGCCAGAGGGAGGGACAAGCCTGGAGGGGGGCAACAGGGCCAGGCTGCCCCGGCCCCCACCCCAACTGGGCAGGACCCCCCACCAGAGCCTCTGCGGCAGCTCCTGGGCTGGCAGCAGCCATGGGGGAGGACAGAGCGTGGGGCAGGACCAGCATCCCACCACGGCCACCCCACACCGACCGCGCGGTGCTTGGTCTTAGGAGACCTGTTACTCCAAACCCCGCGGGCAGGGCTCTGCCTGGAATGCTCCACCGGGAGAAGAGTCAGCGCTTTCCCAAGGTCGAGGGAAGAGGCATCAAGACATTCCCCCAAACAGCGGGTGAGGCACAACCTACCTCTGGGCCCTTGTACGGCCTCCCGTTGATGATCTCGGGCGACGCGTAGAGAGGGCTGCCGCAGTAAGTCTGCAGAAGTTTGTCCTGCTGGTAAACGTTGGAGAGGCCAAAGTCTGCGATCTAGAGAGATGTTTATAGCTGTTATCAAGCAGCAGAGTTTTGCTTTGCAGGTGGAGCAGCATTGCCGCCTCACGCTCTCCTGCTGTGAGCTTGGCTGAAACCTGCGTTCCCCTGGTCCTGGGTGCCCTCAGCCTCCCCAGGGAGCAGCAGCAGCCTGGTTTTCCACCCCCGAGGCTGCTCCTGCCCCTCTCCCCCTCCCAACAAGCAGCTGCCCTGCGGCTTTGCCCCTCCAGTCCCACGCTGGGAGCAGAGGCAGCCGCAAAGGTGTGGTTAGAGGGCGAGCTGCTGGGCTCTCCTCCAGGTCATTCACCGCCACACCAGGCTGCTTCGTTCCCTATCTGCTCCGCCCAGCACACAGGCATTCATTATCCTCATTGCACCTGCCACCTCTCAGCGAGCAGTCCCTGCTTGCAAGCTCCCAATTGGAAAATTACCCCTTACAGAGATAAAGCCCCGCAGCCTCTTTATCACCGATCCCCGGCTGCGGCCGTGCCCTCCCGGGGCAGCTGCAGCGCTCCCGGCCGAGGCAAAAAGCATCACTGGGGGCCAGCGGAGCTGGGAGCTGCCCCACACCCCCGAGCCAGCCCGGCTGGCACGCACGGGGACCAGGACTTTCCCTGGGAGAGCTTTTCCTTATCCTGCTTCGACCTCAGGGTTCAGACTTTGCCCTCTTATCAGCAGCAGGCAGATAGACTTTATGGCTTTAGTAGGCAGCGCGGAGGCTCTGTCTCCGCAGCCTCTCCCGCTCAGCACAGAGAGTGGGGGACAGGTACAGGTGTCCTCTGAGCCCCCATCTCCCGGGCAAAGAGCGGTGCAGGCTGATGCCAGCAGTCCCAGAGCTTCGGAGAACTACGTGCCCTGGGGGGAACTGGGGTGCTGTGGCCACCTCCAGTCCACCCACAGCAGGCAGCGTCCCTTAGAGCCCTTTGCTGGGTGGCAGCCAAAGCGTGGCCGGGCTCTGCCAAACCTCTCACCTTGATGTTCCCGTTTGCATCGAGAAGGATGTTCTCCAGCTTCAGGTCCCTGTGAACGATCCCATTCTGCACGAGGGAAGGGAGAGCCGGGTTTAGCTTACGGCGTGTTTGAGGAAGGGAAAGTCAGGCAGCACGGGGAGGTCACTGCCGGTCACCAGCCCAGCAGCACGCGAACGGGACACACGGTGACAGCAATCGGAGGAGCAGTAAATAACCCCGGGTGTGTTGATGAGGACGGGCTGTAAACCAGGTCCTGGCATGGGTGCTACCAGCTCCCCGTGCTGGGTGACACCCTGTGCCGGCGCCAGCACCCGGCGCCGAGCTGGGCTCCTGCACCCTCCCCAGTCACGCAACCCGAGAGCGGCTGGTTCCAGCTCTGCCGGGGCACGGTGGGCACAGCTCCATGCTTTTCTGGGACCTGATGCTGCCCGGATAAGCAAACCCCCAATTTTCTCTGGGTTCAGGAGGTGCCCTGCAACCCCCCTGCCTGCCAAGAGCACGCAGGACCGAGGCACGACCAGGCACAGCCTTGGAGCATCACCCAGGGAGACCCACGGGCTCGAGGGTCCCTCCAGGGCAGACACGGCTCTTCCACAGCCCTGGACAGGTCCCTGCTGCTTTACACCCCTTTCAGGGCGCAAGAGAGGTGACCCAGGGCTGGGTTTTCAGCGCCAGGCATCTCCCTCAGGGCAGGTAGCACAGAGCTGGTAACTCCCCAGCCGGGTTACTCAGTCCCACACTGCAGCGGCGGAAAACCAAGGCGAGAACTTTCCAAAAGCTGCTGGGGCACTGCCGCCGCGCAAGCCCGAGGGCTGCCGCACCCTTCAGATAAGAGGCAGGATGAACCCCTCTCCCGGGAAAGGCCAAGGGCTACCAGCTCCCCTCACCTGCTAGCCCAGGCTGAGCTTCCCCACCCAGCCCCAACGGCTGCGCCTCCGCCCGGAGCTGGCCCTGCCGACCCCGCCGCTCTCCTGCCGGGCGGTCGGTGGGACGCACGGTGCCGACCCACCTTGTGGCAGTAGTAGATGGCCGACACGACCTGCCGGAAGAAGTGACGCGCCTCCTGCTCCGTCAGCCGCTGCCGCTCGCTGATGTAGTCGTACAGGTCCCCCTTGCTGGCGTACTCCATCACGATGACGATCTTGCTGCTGTTCTCAAACACTGCGCGGGGATGGGAAGCCGCAGGGTGTTAGGAGGGGTGCTGGGAGCTAAGGGACTTCTCGTTAGCACGTGTCTTTTAATGAGCAGGTGGAGCCCTGACAGACTTAACCACACTGCCGGCCCCATTCCCCGCGCCCTCAGTCCGTTGGGCGAAAGAGAAAGTGTCGGGGAGTTCTGCAGGTGGGAGAGGGATGGCCAGAATCCACCTGCACCCCACAGTGACACCGGGGCTGGCAGCCCAGCAGCCTCTGCAGCCACAGAACGTGATTCTTTGCTGGATAGAGCCTTGCGAAGGGGGAAGGCAACGGAGCTACGGGCTGGCACAGCCAAGTGGCTTTTCTGTACATTCCCATTGCTCCAGCTCAAGCCAAGAGATGGAGCATTTTTTTCCTGTTTGCAGAAAGCTACCTCAATATTTTTGAATTCCAGCAGCCAGTGTGACTCAGTCCTTGCAAACACCACGTAGGAACAGCCAATCCACTTGCTTTTGTTTAGAGGACAAAAGGACTCTGGATACCTCCACAGGGCAGCGAGGCAGCGATAACGCAGGCACCGGCCACACGCTGGCCCAGCACCATGAGTCCCGGCAGAGCCAGCCCTGAGGAAGAGCACGGGGCACACCGGGTGCGCAGGCAAAGGATTCAGTGTTTAAGCAAAGACTAAGCCAGCAGGAGATTTGCTCTAAGTCTGGTCATAGCTACAACTTCAGAAAAGTTGGAGTTGCCCTGACACCCCGGGAGCAAAGCCCAGCCTTGGCCCTAAAGCCGAGCCCAACGGCACCCTGAGCTCTCCCAGCACCCTGCGGTTGGTTCCCCTGTGCCCCAGGGGAGGGAATGAGGAGGACTCTAGTACTGAGATTAGCTCTTGCCTCAGGCTGAGAGCGGAGCCACAGAGATTCCCACAAGCCATGGCTGGGGAAGAGCCTCCAGCACAGCCGGAGTCACACACGGTGCTGGGCTTTGCGGGGTCCCCGGCCACAGCACAGCCTGTTGCTGGCAGCAGGGCCGAGGCTTCCAGCTTCAAAAGGCCAAGTAAACTTTTGGAGTTGGCTTCCCTCTCCGGGCAGGAGGGGATGGGATGGGAAGCGGCTGTTTCTGGAGCAGGTATTTCCCCTCGGCGCTGCTCAGTGCGGTGGGGACACCCCAGGCAACGGCACAGAGCTCCGCTCGGGAACGCTGCTGGAGAGAGGAGGGGAGAGGAGGGCTCACCTTCGTGGACAGCGATGATGTGGGGGTGGTTGAGGGAGGACATGATCTCAATCTCTCTCCGGATATGCACAAGGTCCTGCTCATCCTTGATTTTGTCTTTCCGGATTGATTTGATGGCCACCTGCGGACGAGCACACGCACAGAGGGTCACCCAGCTGTCGGGGCCAGGAGCTTTGTGGCTTCCCGAAGCGTGTGACAGCACAAGAAACCCACCCCCCTCTTTCGGGAAGGGGCTCACAAGCAAGAGCTCAATGGCCCCGCTTCTCCTCCCAGGGATGCCATCCCCGAGCGCTAAGCTCCACTGAAAAAACTCCAGTAAAAGTGAACTTTATCAATTAGGTTTTTATACTTTCCAAGTCCTGTTGCTGTGTGCAAGGGAGAAGCTCCCCCCGCCTCCCCCCAAGGGAAACCTGCTGCCAGCTCCTGCCAGAGGAGCTCCCCAAGCCTCCTCCTCCAGGTAGGAGCCCTGCTCCTCATTTATGTGCCGTGGTTTACAGGAATTGTGTCTCAGGCTACAGCCACCGCTGGACCACGGCCAGCCAAAGGAATGTGACCTGCACACATGACTTGGAAGATAACAACAACAACAACGTCTTCTTGGGGTCATGAAAAGGAAAAAAAAAAAAACAAACCAAAACAACCACACAACAGGTTTTGTTTTCCTGGCAAATACTTATTTCAAGGAGCTGATTATGTAGGTAAGAGGTAAGAGAAAGTTTGGCATTAAAGAGCAGATCCCTCCTGGGCACAGGACTGTGCTCCAGCCGGCCGGGAGACCCAGCGCCGACCAACGCAAGCTGCTTTCCAGGCTTTCGCTTGGGTTTTTCACCTTATCCTCTACAAGAAAATGGAAAGGGGAGGAGAAAGAAGAGTAAGTGCTGGAGAATAGATGCCTTCTAATCCTCTTTGAAAGGGGCTGGGGAGAGACAATGTGCTCCTGGGGTCGAATTTACAACTGAATCCAGCAGAACCTCTTTTTTTTGTATCAAACAAGAATGCGGAACAGCATTAATCCTGTAAAGGGACCCCTGCACCGTCTCCCAGCAACGGGGAGAGGGGCCGTGGACACCCAGCGGCCCCAGCTGCCAGCACAGGAGCGATGCTCATGGCCACAGGCACCCTCCTCCACCTTTGGCTCTGCGGGATGGATGCTTGGCCTCGTCTCCCTCTGATTTAGGGGGGGTCAGAAACCCCGCTCCTTGAGACCTAGCCGAGCAAGCAGTGAAAGGCTCAGACTAAGTCTGAGCAACCCTTGCTAAGCAAGGCCCATGGCACCCACAGCAGACCCTAGAGCAGCGAGATCTCAGCTGTCACATCATCATCTTCACAGGAAAAGGACACGACAATTTGAAGGGCTCAGATGGGCGTGGGAGAGATGCCCCAGAGCACATCCCTGCTGTGCCGGGCCACTTCGGGCCAGCACTGGCCAGGGCAGGGGTCGCCACACGCTGGGGAACCATTGCGCCCGCACCAGCCCCAGGGGTTGAAGCGATCAAGCAGAACGGACTCTGGGCAAGGGAAGTTCAGTAACCCAGGCCCAAGTTTCTGTACAAAGCAATTCTGAAAGTGCTTAACAGCTTCGCGAAAGCCAGCTATTATTTTCCCTGACCTTTGTGCTAGGTTAACAGGTTAAAGTTTAACAATATTTTGCTCCAGCCCCTGATTACCCGACTCCCACTAGAATGCAAGCGAAGCCAGCCTGCTCCTGCCCTCCCAAATTCCTGTTGACTCACCCTCTCCACCTCCCCTCTAAAGCTCGACACCCAGCCTAAGAGCCTCAGCGTTTTGGGGTACACGCAGCACATCTGCTTGCTGGCCGAGATGCTCACACACATACTCTGCTGAGCCGGCGCTCGGGGCAAGATCCACTGTTGGTAAAAAAGACGGAGTGACTCCGGGCTGCCAGCGTGGGAAGCCTGAGGAGATGCCACTGGCTGCATTCAGCAGTGTGAGAACGCCCTCGCCTACGAGCCAGCAGTTAGAGACCTGCGGACAGGAGTCAGGCTGCAGCAGCAGGTTTAGGGCACTGTTAGAGCCCCGGGGCTCTCCCTGCTGAGCCTGCCTAACGGTCAGGGTTTGGCACTGTCAGGGTCCCCATCTCAGAGCCTGACCCAGCCACTCAGGGCAGGATGATTTAATCTGCCGGGGAGGCTCATCTAATCCCTTGACCATCCCCATCCTTCCCCGGGGGTGGTGAGAAGCAGCTTTGTTCCAAAACATCCCCCCTGCCTAAGAGGGCTGACAGCAGAGGGTCTCCCCGCGAGGCAGAGGAGGCCACGAGGCCACCCTGGGGATGGGGACACTGCCACAGCCTCCACCATCAGCGGGAAGAGAAGAATCTCCCGCAGGAAACAGCCCCAAGAAATCCTGCTGCAGGAGCCTAGAGCACCTGAGAGTACTTTCCAAGTCAAAAAGGCTTTTAATTAAAAGTTTTTTTGGGGGCAGAACAGGTATTTTCAGCAGCTGCTGAAAGATGCATTAAGCTACAACCCCAGGCAGCACTTCAGAAGTTGTTCCAGATTGCAAGTGCAGCATTTCATGCTCCATGAAATATGGATTACAACCCACCACGGAAGAGACCGGGGTTTGCCCCTCGCTGGAGATCAAAAGCAGCTTTGCTGCTTTGGAATATTCCAGGTGCTGCCTTCCCCTTGCCCACAAATACATTTCTGACACTGCGAGTGAGTCCCACAGGAGGTCCCGATTTGTATTTGACTTGGCTGCAGGCCAGCGCTCGGGAGCCAGGCTGGGAGAAACACCAGGCTGGGAGGAAAAAAGCCCAGATGCTGCCACGCAAACAGGTGCGGGAGCCACTTCGCACCACCACGGCACACGCTTCAGAACCTTCAAACCGAAGGATGCAGGGAAAGAGAAAAAGAACAAAAGGAAAGGAAAAAAGAATCAGGCAACTCTCTCTCCCCCACCTGCTTGATATTTCAGGGACACAACAGTTTTCCAAGGACTGGGAACAGCACTCAGCAGAGGTACCCACCAAAAGGCGTGAACATCACTTCACCTAAAGGATTTCTAACCAGAAAACAAGGATTTTTTTCAAAGAAGCCCCCCCCCAAAAATCCTTCAGCTGTGGGAGCCTGGTTTTCCCTGAAGTCCACCAGCTGATTAGACACACCTTGCTCTGAGCTAAGTCCGGGTAGTTTGGTTAAAATTCAGAGGAAAAAAAAAAAGCTAGGCAGTAAAACGAGATGGTTCAATATTCCGGGCATCTGACTGAGGCAGTTTCTGATTAGCCAGAGGCAAAACCCAGCACGAAGCAGCTCCAGCTTTACAGCCTCAGCCGGTAACGTCGGCTCAGCACAGCCCAGGAGGGGTAACCGGGGGAGGCAGCAGTACCTGCTCTCACACCTTGGTGTTTAGGAAGTGAAAGCGACTTAGAGAAGGAGCAAATAACAACCCAGGTCGGGATAAGCCTGAAGATTAAACAGGTCCGGAAACGCTGAGTGCTACAAGAAAGAATTTGTGGGAAGAGGAGAGATTTGTGGTTAAGCCTCCTGTTCCTACATGGCCAGCTCGCTGAGGTACTAGTTAGTCAAGCCTTTGACTATCTCCAGCGTTCACTGAGGAGTCATTGGCCCGTGTATTTAATTTGCGTTATACTGGCCCAATGGTGCTGGACAAACGAGTCCCCGTCCCAAGGAGCTTCCACAGGGCAGGTGAGTTTTGGGGCAGTTTGGAGATTTCCCTGCACAAGCTTTGTTCGGGGCAGACAGGGAAAGCCAAGTCTTCTCGCCCATCCCGAGGGGAGGGATCCCTCCGGGTCTGTGGGTGGAAGCTGCATTTCAAGGCCCTGATTATGCAGCAAAACAGCAGCTTCTTCAGCATCAGATGGGCTAATGGAAACGGCAGAGCTGTCGCCGTACACAAGAAAACCTCTCAGATTTAGTTGGGTTTTTTCCCTGACGTGCCCCTGTGACACATTAGCGACCCGATCTCACACCCTGCCCTCCTGCTGAGCCCTCAGAGCCTCGCTGGGCCAGTCCTGCCGCTCTCAGGTGGCCACTCATTGCTCACCCGCGGTCCCCAGACGGGCTGGGGGGCAAGAGCCCTTCCTGGGGAGCACAGGGTGCTTGGGGCCAAACAGGGGCAGCGAAATCCCCTTCAAGTGTGAACCCGTGCAGATCCCTAAAGGACAGAGCTGCCAGGAGAGCAGCACCCCGCTTTCCTGGGGGTGGAGGGGCCCCCACCTCGCCCCGCATCGCTGTGCTCTGGGCTGAAGCCACTTACTTGGAGGAGGGG